TATCAAAAAACTAAAATTCTTGAAATTTATACAAAATAAATTATAAATACCAAATAGTGTTCTGGACGTTTTTTGTGTCTATACGTCAACGAAAAGATATCTTTTTGAACCGATGAATTTCGCCGTTTTCTGATCCGCCATTATTTGAGAGCGTACCGTCTAACTCATTACATATTCATAGAAGTGACGTCAGAGGCGTACTCGCGCCAAATTCAACACGAGTTTGCGGTAATTTTCAACAAGAAGATGAACAGTCAGAGTCTTTTTCGCAGTGTTTTATAGAGTTGTATGTAGAAAGATCACTTTGCGCCATATTGTTTCTCTTGTTGTCTCTACTCGACGTGCGCCTCTGACGTCATACGTGCAACCGCTGATTCAAAAATCGCTTATTCATATTTAATGGCGGACGGGATTGTTGCTGTCTTTTAGCATCAAAACTCAAATGTAAACAGAGCCTTTATTGATCAAACTTTGTCAATKTTTAGTATTTACGGTTATTTCATCGATATGGAATACATAAACCCGTTTTTGAGGCGTGTTATTTTGGTAAGACTMTCACTTTAAAGATTKTATAATTTCCTTTTTAAGCTCCAGGACACTATCTAATTTCTATAAACAATTAGTACTTCTTGTCATTCTATCCAACATAATTACCATCCTCTTTTGTTGTTGCTGTTGCGATGTTGCTTTCAGTGCCATAATACTTTGAATTCCAGACTGATACAGTTATACTGTATTTCATCCACTTGTTCAAGTTGGTCAGCAAGGTATTTCTGACGTTTCTAACGGGTTTTGTCTTTTTTATTCTTCGTGCGTCCGTGTATGTAACTCTAAAACCAGTTGAAGGTCCGTTGAATTTTGCCCAACGTGGCAGCTAGAAAATATTGAGGTAAAATTGGATAGATGTTCCAACATGTTTAAGTGCCTATGACGCCTGACACAATAATTTCTGATTCTCTGCGAGCTGTTTCTGTTTAAAGTAAATCATTGAATGGTGAAATATTTCTGAATTTCAGTGTTGCGCCTTTGAGTTATGAACGTCTAATCTTTCAATGTGTTAATGAAAACATAGTACAGGGGAAATTTCCCCTCTACAAACTATGATGAAAATTACTAGAACCCATCCTTGTGAATACTCCATTTTGATYTTTGGATCAATTTATACACGATATACCGTTGACTTTTGTCATAGCGCTCTATTTGTTTGCTACTAAATATTCCCTTAAAATACTAAATAACGAACAAGGACCTATGTTCCGTCAACAGTTAATACCTTAAATATTATTTAACGCTCGCAAATTTTGAGATCGTGTAAACTTCCTTCAAAATGTATCCAACTGAAAATATGTCCATTTATATTAACAGTCGCAATAGTTTGAATGCATATTTTGCGAAAAGTAATCACGACCGCCACAYAAAATCCAATTGATTTGAAACGTACTTTTAATATACTTTCAATATGCATTGCTGAAATTATTCTAAAAAATGGGTAACATGAAGAAAATTAGCTTGAATTGTGTTGTGTATGTTGTGCTCACACAGTAAGATTTGCATAATCATTGAATATTGTTTGAATTCTTTYTTTAGAATGCTGCTAATTTATCATACCGATGAGCACAAAAGTGTCTTTGATGAAGATCGTAACGTGGAGAGCCGTGGAGGCTTCAAACAATATTATTTCATTGCACAGCTTTAGCCTAAAAAAGCTGAGGTTTCTTCTCGCCCCATGTAAGAGAATCCAGAGAACTAGAGGATTCCGGATTCCAAGCGCTGGATTCCGGATTCCGAAACATTGGATTCCGGATTCCAAGCCTTGGGATTCCGGATTCCAAAGAATTTTTGTTTTGGATTCCGGATAATAAATGTCGTGATTTTCAGTGTCTTTTTTTTCCTGACAATTTTATATTCAGCGTCAGTAGCCTGCGCAGGACACCGGCAACGCAAGCTAGCGCGTCACTAATTTGCACTGTCTCCAATTGTCACATGCTGACAAACAAACTACGTATATGAAATACAGTAAAGTACAGCATATCAGTTGGATGTACGTTCTCATCACTAGACAGCTAGATTTTCACTGATAAAAGCAATCTTCCTAACTATCCAGATTCTGGATTCCAAATAGTTGGATTCCGGATTCCAGGATAGGGATTCCGGATTCCAAAGCTGTATTTTTACTGGATTCCGGATTCCGGATTCTCTTACA